GATTCTATGATTCTATGATTCTATGGCTATACCCACTGGCAAGGCACAAATCTACTGCTTGACTTGCTCGAGCAAACAGTACAAACTGTACACCTGCCTTCTGCAATAAAGACTTACCTTTGTAGATGGGACTTCTCGGGTTTTAGCTCTGAGCTTGTTTACTTGACCTGCAGCAATATCTGCCCTTTCCTCAGCCTCTTCTAGCTTATGCTGTGCTTTTCTGAATTTGGAAAGATTAGTACGGGCTTGTTCATCCTGAAATGGCAAAACAAAAAGAACTAAAAACCATCTGGCAACACGCTGGGGCACAGAGCCAACTTTTAAACTGACAGTCCCAGAAAATGGTAAATAAGTATTTGCTTCAGTTTAGTGACTCACAGCTTCCTCAGCTTGTCTTTTGTAGGATTTGATTTTCACCTGCAATTTATCTACCAGATCTTGTAACCTCATCATGTTCTTCCTGTGTTCTTCATTCTGTGGAAAGGGAATGTGCAATTACACGTCCTTGGGAGACAAAACATCAGAAGAATTGCTTTCTATTTATACCCACCTGGAAAGTAAGCTCTTTGACACGCCGTTCATATTTGCGGATGTTTTTCATTGCCTCTGCGGATTGTTTATGTTCTTCTTCCAGCTCAACTTCCAACTCACGGATCTGGTCAATCAATCAACAGTTGGCTTGAGCCCTCACACAGGAGTCAGAGAAGAAAGGTTTCTTTGACACCCATGTTCAGTGCTGGTACCCACCCTGGCCTCCTTCTTCAAGAGTTGTTTCTTGCCTCCCTTCAGTGCCAGCTGCTCGGCCTCATTCAGACGGTGCTGCAGATTCTTCACTGTCTGGTCCAGGTTCTTCTTCAACCTCTCCAGGTGGGTGCTGGTGTCCTGCTCTTTCTTCAGGTCTTGTGCCATCATGGCCGCCTTGGAAGGGAGATGACACAAGAAACTGGAAGAATGTGAAAGAACAGTGCATGCTGTGCACCTTGCTGACCGTTCCTCCCACCACTTTTCCCGCTTCGTTTTTTTTCTGTGACACGATAGCGGCAGAAACATGGTAGGAAATAGTAGAAAAAAGGATGGGAAAAAATCTGCCCGGCTGCACGCGCAGAGCTTGGAACGACAGAAAGGGTAAATGCTCTATCCCACTGTATGGTCATTACTGTGACCTTCATTGACACCCAGATGCCGTGGGGTAGAGCAGGAGCCAGAGCAAGCTTGGGAGCAGGGCATGGCACAGCTGAAAGGCTTCTCTGCGTAATACACATGGAGTGTGATGGAGTCTGTGTTCTGTACCTTAGCGCATGCCCTGTTATTGCCACAATAGCCTAGATGGCTAGTGTTACAAGGCAGAAAATAGTTTAAAACAGTCTATGTTATTTAAGACAAAACTAGGATATATTTTGCTCTCAAACATTTGATTCCTACACAATCAAATTAAGCATTTTGGTGAAATATTGAGTGACATTACTTACAAATAATGTAAAATTCAACAAATTGCTTTGGCAGCAAAATACCTGAAAAAGTCTAAATTGGAAAATGTGAGAATAAAATAATGGCATTAGAAATTTTATATATATATAAAAATATATGTGTATGTGTGTGTATAATTCATCATAATGCTCTATTTATGTTTTATTCAAACAGGATACAAATGACCTTTTTTTTTTTTCTTCATTTTTATGAGCAAGTGGAGAAGTTTTCCTTCTATTTTAACTCCAAATAATGTTTTTAAGTGTTAAGATTTTGTTTTGATCCTATGCATCAAAAATCATTAGCAGGTTGGGTCCCATGATATAGCAGCCCTATTACCTGGCTGAGCTTCACTGGCCTTGCACAGGAGGATATAGCACCAATTTTGAATGGAAATTCACAATTCTCATTTGAAAAGTTCTTAAATAGGATTTTGAAAAAATGAATATTTAAATACATTAAACACTCTACTGGTTTCAATACTGCAGGGTTTTTTTGTGGTTTACATTTTCATGCAGGACTGGAGAAAGTTATTTGTTTTAGACTGACTAAATGTGGGTTTAGTTCATTACGATGACAACAGCCCCAGTAACTCATCTGTCAGCAGGACAAGTTCCCTGTTGCTCTAATCCTCCTCTGACACATAGCTTCTTCAACCAAGCCCACAGACTGGTTCTTTGTCCAACTTCTGACAAGAGTATTTACATTAACTCCCAGCAGCAATGCCATTGGGAAGCCCTGAATATTCGAGGAGAAAAACACAGTAATGTTCTCACATCTGTGATTGCCTTCTTTGCTCTTTCTTCAGCATTTTTTGCTTCATTAGTAATATCTTCCATCTCAGTGTGGATTTGTGCCATATCAGTTTCAAGCTTCTTCTTTGTATTAAAAAGGCTGGTGTTCTACGAAGGAGAAAAAGAGAGGCTTTAAGTGTCTGTCTTTAGTCTCTTACACACAGAGACCATAAATTACTATTCATTCTTACTCTGTGAATCTCTGGACCCAAAAATACGTTTGTCTTAGCAAAGCAAACTCCCTGGGTGTGGAGGAGCTGCACACGTTCACTGGCATCCAGAAGCTCCTGCTCAGCCACTTTCCTTGACCGCTCCGTCTGCTCCAGGGCTGCCCGTAGCTCCTCAACTTCAGCCTGCAGCAGGTTTGCTCTGCGCTCCACCATGGCCACCTGCTCCTTCAGGTCCTCCTGTGTCCTGAGAGCATCATCCAAGTGCAGCTGCATGTCCTAAATATGAAGAGCCAATTTTGTCCTAATTAATTTCTCAGATACTGTGCTTAAAAATAAATCAACCAGAAAGATAAACCAAGACCTTGAGAACTCCCTGGATGCTGTGCAGGTGTTTCTGTGCCTCTGCAGCCTGGCGGTTGGCATG